GTCGAACACCCCCCTGAGGAGGAGGGCTATAGGTTATTCCTACCTTAAGGCTTAAGCAATCCACCTCATGCGTATGCAACTACGATACATTACACTTTTACATTAACTACCTGTTGCAATTAAGTACGAGAGCCCTGATACCCATACCACAAGTTAAATCTTACTTTGGGTACCAGAGGTCAACAAAACTATTGTACATGTTGAATTGTTATAACTTATGTGTGTTTTTACTGTATGTATCTTTTTGAGACAATAAATTATATTATTATTATTATGTGCAAAAGGTTTGCCAAAGAAGTTATGGGCAGAAGCAGTTCAAACAGCGGCATATGTATTAAACAGGACAAGTAAAAGCAATGAACCCGGGAAAACACCATTCGAGGTATGGACCAACAAGTATTTTGATATAAATTATTTAAAAATATTTGGAACCCCTGTTTTTATGCACATCCCAAAAGAAAAAAGAAGAAAATGGGATGCTAAAGGAGAGAAAAGAATAATGGTGGGTTATGGAGAGGACGTTAAGGGCTATAGAGTACTCTTTGAAAATAAAAACTGTGTGGAAATAAAGAGAGACATAGTCTTCCTGGAACAACCTAAAACTAAGACAGAGCAGTTGGAGGTATTGGAACATGACTCGGATAGACTCAAAGAGACTGATGAGGATCAAGGGTCTAAAGAACAGTTAGTATACTCAAACAAAAGTGTAGAGCAGGTAGAATCCAGTGAGGGTGATCAGCAGTCTACGCAGTTAGAAGAAACTGTGGATATATCTACAGGAAGTGACGGAAGTGAGTATATTCCAAGTTTCAATGATGACAGCTCCGATGATGAAGAAGGTAAAACATCAAAAGGCAAGATGCCAGAAAATGGCAAGAAGCCATAGCGAGAGAGCTGCAAACACTGAATGAAAACAAAACCTGGGACTTCTGTGAAAAACCTCCGAGTGAAAAGATTGTAAGTAGTAAGTGGGTATTCAAAGTTAAAAACACAAAAGGCAGTACTCAATATAAAGCTAAACTTGTGGCTAGGGGCTTTGAACACAGGTCATCATAGGGGAGTGGAGGGAACGACTCGGGCAACCGAGCGCCGGGCACGCCGTCATCGCGGCGGTAAGAACCGTTATGGAGGATTGGCTCGAGAGGCGTCACGGGACCCTCTCATACCGATTGACGCAGGTGATCACTGGGAAGGGATGTTTCGGGGATCACCTGTGTCTGATCCGCAAGGAGCCAACGCCTGAGTGCCACCACTGCGATGGCCAGACCGTGGACACGGCTCTCCACACGCTGGCAGAGTGCCCGGCGTGGGTTGAGCAGAGGCGAGACCTCGTGGCGGCCATCGGAGTGGGAGTTCTCTCGCTCGATAGCCTGATTGCGGCTATCGTGCGGAGCGAGAGTGCGTGGAACTCTGCCGTCTCCTTCTGCGAGCAAGTTATGCTCGCGAAGGAGACGGCGGAGCGGGACCGGGAGAGGTTTAGGACTCTCCCGGCCCGCCAGGCCCGGGAACGGGCCAGTTACCGCAGGCGACTCAGCTGCCGGAGGTCGCAGAACGACCTCCGTCCTCCTTAAGCGCAGGCCTGGGGGTGACAGGTGAGGCCATCTGTCACCCTAGCAGAAGCAGGCCGGGGTGGCGGCGAGCGCGTTGCGAAGCGCGCTCTAGGGAGCACAGGGAACATGGGGTTCCCAAACGGGGGGGGTCGTCTACTCATCTGTAGATGACCCGAGGTATGTCGGGGCACCAGGGACTTCCTTTCTAGGGTGTACCTGGTTCCCCGGCTATTAGTACCCGAGACGGCGTGCGGTTTTAGTCGGTTCGAGTCCGACATGCCACCGTCAATTGGTATCCGAGGGGATTTCCGCACGGAAAAAAAAAAAAAAAAGGGGCTTTGAACAAAATGATCTTTTTTTTTTGTTGGGACTAATCCCATCCACAAGCCCACCGCTGTAACTCCTGTACACCAGGATCCACAGCAGTGACCCACGAACACACTGAGTTATGACACTCGGGAAGTCCCAGGAAGAAATTAAACTGTCTTGGAAACCGCAACGAAATTAATCAGAAGAAAATTGGAGGAGTTGGAAATACAGTAAATCCACTTCCCTCCTTAGCAAAGCGGGAGACAAAATGAAGTAAAATGGGCATACACCCTTTTATTTATTTATTTATTTATTTATTTATATAGGACAACTTACAAAACATACACTAATACATAATTTACAAACATGTTTTACAATTATTTTCTGAGTGTTGTCTTACTTACAAGTTGCCACGGCATGGTAAGGGACAGTTGCATCTAAGATTATACAATGCAATATCTATAATAATATACGAAACATACAGAACATCATCGAAATTAATTAGAAACAGTGATGCATTTAAAGTGGTCTAAGTCTAAATGACGCAATAACTTTGCTCTTAAATTTTGGAAGACTGTTTGAGAAGATGTCTACATCAATTTCACGATTTTTCGTCAGCTTGTTATACTGGCTTTGTAGTCTATTTATAGTAGCGTTCTGACCCAAGTTGGTTTTAGAAGATTTAATAGAAAAAGGAGCGTATTTATTGGCACGGAGAGACCTTGAGGGAGCATTTATATTTATTTTCTCAATAAGAATGGGACAGTCTAAGTCACCGTTAACTAATTTGTAAAGCAAAATCTGATCCAATAACTGCCTACGATCGAACAAACTGTGGAGATTAAAATGTTTTAAACGACTTTCAAACGTCGGCAGCAGTTTTACTTTATTGCACTGGTATGAAAGGTGCCAAAGAAAACGCTTTTGGACACTTTCGAGACGTTTGATATGTACCTCGTAGTGTGGTGACCAAACCTGAGCACAATATTCCAGACCAGATCGAACCAAGGCCGAAAAAAGTCTAATCTTAGTCTGGGGCCTTTTAAAATCTTTAGAGTTCCTTATAACAAAGCCCAACATTTTAAATGCTTTAGTTGTTATTTTGTCAATGTGAGTGTGGAATCTAATTTTGGCATCCAAATCAACTCCCAAGTCCCTGACACTTGTAACCTCCTCCAATGTCCTATTATTAATGGTATATGTCTGCGAGTTCAAGTGAGTACTGCGTGAGAATCGTATGTATTTACATTTGTCTATGTTCAGTGCTAAGCCATTTCTCCCACACCAATCGACTAAGCAGTTCAAGTCTTTTTGTAGAAGGAAAGTGTCATGTTTGCTTTTTATTTGTTTTGCGAGTTTGAGATCGTCAGCGTAAAGGAAACAATCACTGTTCTTGAAAAGTGGTACAATATCGTTTATAAAGATATTAAACAGAATCGGCCCCAGAACCGATCCTTGGGGAACACCTGAATGGGTTAAAAATGATTGAGAGGTGTATCCACCAACAACCACCCTGGAACTTCGATTGTTGAGATACGAGGAAAACCATTTTAGCAAGTTACCTGTTATACCAAAGGTGGAAAGTTTGTAAATAAGGATATTGTGGTCCACTGTATCGAACGCTTTGCTTACATCGGTATAAATAGTGTCAACTGGGATATTAGAATCAACAGAATCAGTCAAAAAGGTCACAAATGAAGTAAGGTTGGTTGTTGCGGATCGAGCTTTATGGAAGCCAAATTGTTGTGGCGATATCAATTGCTTGATGTGCCATGTAATTGTGGGTCTTATTAGTACTTCAAATAACTTACCGAAGACCGGTAATATAGAAATTGGCCTATAGTTTTTTATAGACGCAATATCCCCAGATTTGGATACAGGTACAACCCTAGATTCCTTCCACGCGGTAGGAAAGAAACCGGCTTTTAGTGAACTGTTATATATTATCGAGAGTGGTACGGAGAGCGCGTCACGGCATTCCGTTGCAAATATACATGGGATACCATCGGACCCAGCTCCTTTACTTCGATCTAAATGTTTTAGGCCAGTTAACACATCATTTTGTGAAAAGGACAACCCTGCCAGACAACTTGCAAGTGAAGCGTTCGGGAATGTAGCGTCATGATAGTGTACTGAAGTGGAAGAGGGGACCTTATAGACAGACGCGAAATAGGACGCAAAGAGATTGCAAATGTCAGAACCATCGGAGGCTCGTCTGTCATCCAGATGCATTAATGATGGATACGTACATTTATTTTGACGCTTATTTTTTAGGTGAGTCCAAAACAACTTCGGATTTTTGGACAATGAGTCCTCAATATTACTAACGTACTTCGTGTAACACGATTCGATTAATGAAGAACAACGTTTTTTTAGCAGTAAGAAAGACAGCTCGTCCAAAGGATTTTTATATTTACGATACCTTTTACGTATTTTATATTTCTCATTTAAGAGGTTTATAAGTTCTTTAGTATACCAACAGGGATACTTTTGATATGTGGTCTTACTTAAAGGTACGTGTTTCTCGATTGCCTCTCTGATTATCTTATAAAACATATCCACCATATCATCAACACTCGTCAAGACTGAGAATTCATCGCCCCAAGAAACAGAGTTAAGTTCGCTTATAATTTTGTCAAAATCTGCTTTGTGAAAATTAAACTTGTCACCAGGAATCTTGGGAGAAAGACCCGGCGTACTGCAATATGATAAGACAAATTCCAAAGGCGGGTGGTATGGGTCAATTTTGCTAAGCACATTTGTGCTTTCTTGCATATGCTCAATTTTTTGAGTCGAAAGTACCAGGTCAAGAATTTTTCCTTGGCTATTGAGAATTGTATTTTGTTGCCTTAAATTATTAAGAGCAATAAAGTCGAGTAATATGTTCCCGAGTGGGCCCGTTAAGGAACCACACATGGAACATACCACACTAACAGTGTCCCTATTCTGTATTTAGGGATCTCTTATTTAGGGTATGTAATACCCTAAATAAGAGATCGCGTTAATTCCCGTTAAATAATATTAATTATCATGGAACGCGAAAGTTTAAAAGTTAGCGGAGGCATATTAGTATTGATATTGTGTTATTTCATCATGGTGAAGTGTAAAAACAGCGGCGCCTAGAGCACAAGCTCCTGTGTATTAAAGTGCTATTTTTCTACAAGATTGTTGCCCATATAGCACTTTAACGACAATGAATATACCGCTGTTCGGGTTGAGCTGTAGACGGATCATTTAATTTGTCATTCTATGAATAGAACATGCACCATAATTTTACATTGTAACATTAAGATGTATTGTATTACTTAGGTACTTACTTAATATAAACAAGGGCGTCGCACACAGAATGACGCATCATCGATCTGATTACATTGTATTCATTGGGGTTCCGCTAGTAACTTTTGATTGTGAAATAGTAATTCATTCCTTCCTTCATTTTTCTCTTGTTTAACAAATGTGTTCCACATTTTCCAAAAAGGGGGGGGGGGAGTACTGTGGCGACAGCCCTACGCTATTATTTAATGTCAGCATTTTCTACTAAGCCAGGCGGACGCAAAGACTCGACAGTTAGTCGGTTACAAGCCTCGATACCAATCACACGGCTATTCGCGCACCCGACTCCGCCCGCCTGGTTAAACCTTTCTGTGTGTATTTCATGTATGTGTCGTGTGGTACAATAAACTTTGGTTAACTACCTAAATTGAGTATTTATTACATCTCCACTCAACACCTCAGATAGGTAGTGTATATTTAGTGTGCTCCTTTATCCCAGTACTAAAGGTAACCTCAAATCACCGCCGAGCATTAGATTTGACAATGTTACTGTAAAAAATAAAACCACAGTGTGTTATCTAGGATTAGTTTTAGAAAGAAACTTTTCATTTATCGAACATATTAAAATAGTTAATGAAAAGTCTAAAAAGAGTTTCTGTGCATTGACAAGGATATCAACTGCGACATGGGGTCTATCATTTAATACATTAAAGATCATATACGGAGCTACTTATTTAGGTTCTATGTGCTATGGTGCACCTGTATGGGCCGATAGGGCGACCGTAGGCGCTGTTCGTCGCAAACTGTTACAAGGCCAACGACTTGCACTGATATTCTTGTGTAAGGCATATAGGACGGTTAGCACTGAGGCTTTGCCGGTGTTGGCGGGTGTGCTTCCGATCGATCTCGAGGTGCAGAGACGTGCAGCCATGTACTATTCAAGACAACAAAACATGGAATGCGATTTTTTGGGCGCGCGGGATCGCGGTAAAATTACAAGATTGCTTCAACAGCAGCCCGATGTCTATAATGACCTCATAGACGAATGGCAACAACGCTGGGATGAATCATCCAAGGGGCGCCATCTTTACCAATTCTTTCCATCTGTTCGCGAACGGTTGTCGAGGATATGGCTTGAGGTGGATCACTGTGTCGCTCAATTTCTTACGGGTCATGGTAACTTTAAGAGCAAGCTTTATTCATTTAAATTAGTCGAGTCACCATTGTGTCAATGCTCAACACCTAACTCTCACTATGAACAGTCTGCTCATCATATCCTCTGGGAATGTAGTCTTTGGTATAATGAACGTAATATAATGCTGAATAGCTTGCAGGCGACATCTGGGGCGGTATACTATGGGGATCTTGTGTCAACTAGGGTGAATTTCCGTGCGTTTAGGCGATTCTGCCATACATATTATAGAAATCAAACATAGCTCACGTAGGACCCGTAATATTTGTGGCCGTGGTGCTTCCCTGTTTAAAAGGGTGTATGCCCATTTTACTTCATTTTGTCTCCCGCTTTGCTAAGGAGGGAAGTGGATTTACTGTATTTCCAACTCCTCCAATTTTCTTCTGATTAATTTCGTTGCGGGTTCCAAGACAGTTTAATTTCTTCCTGGGACTTCCCGAGTGTCATAACTCGGTGTGTTCGTGGGTCACTGCTGTGGATCCTGGTGTACAGAAGTTACAGTGGTGGGCGTGTGGGTGGGATTAGTCCCAATTACTCCTGGTGTAATTAACTTATCCGCTCGCTTCACAGCTCGTAAATTACGCGTGACCTCCGATTGTTCGGGCCACTTGAGCGGAACGCGCCTCAATTGCCCATCTGTTTTTTACGTTACCGGCGAGCGGGTCGTATTACAAACAATCGGTCCTTGCGACTAAGTTTGTTTTGAAAGGTTGTCAAGTGTTATATTTTTTATGTTTACTATGAAACTAGCTATACAATGCTATCTTTTATTTATGAGGTTACGACTCTGGTGTCGAGTTATGTTGTGTTGAAATTGAGATAGCGCGTTTTAAAGCTCGTCTTGTGAATAAAAGTAAAGTGTGATACCTTTTGGTATCACACTTGCACAATCTACCATTTTATTAACATAAACATGTAGAAATACAGTCAACCAGACGTAGTAATAAGGCTGACTACGTAGTAATAAGGCTGACTACACACTATAAAGTATCGGGAATTATTTTCCGGATCTTACTTACGTACTAATATATATATATATACGAAAACTAATGTATATATGTATAATAAATAACTAGAAAAATAATGTGACTTTATAATATAAAAAAAAAAAACAAAAAAAATTAACCCAACTCTTTGTGATAATCTCCGTAACACCCCTCTAAGCACAGATTAATTTGGCACGTGCCACAACTCTACATTGTCGAGCGCCGCACCTTCTTACTTGCGCAAAATTTGCACCGCTGCTTTTTTTCTTTTTTCACAGGCAAATGCATCGGCTGTGGCAATGTGGGTTGTACGGGTGCTTGAGGGGTGTTACAGTAAGTCTCCAAGATTTCCTCTAGGAGCCGTACCCTGAAGGATCTATTACCGAGCTTGTCGGATTCTGTGCGGCCGTGGTCATGGATAACCGACGAATTGTGTATCAACACGTTCAAAAGTGGGCGGAATAGTTTTTTATACCAAATTAGATTTCTGCGCCTCTCTATGGGGAAGCTGCTCAGCATCTGATCTTTAAGATCGATGCCCCCCATAGAGAGGTTATAATCAAGGATTACCTTTGGCCTATATTTATAGTAACCGTATTTTTCTATTCCGCCGACTTCTGGACGATGGTATGTCGATATCATCGGTACAATGTTTTTATCCAAATACACGAGCACACACAGATCTTTGGTGGAGCTGAAGGAGACTTCACCCGACTTCATAGTCGTTTTATTTTTGACCTTTAATGCTTCAGGGACGAACTCCCTATTGAGCCTAAGAGTGCCCATCGTATCAGTTTTGTGTTGCGATTTGAGTAACCGTGATAGTAGTGGGGAGTTGTAAAAGTTGTCCATGACAACGGTGTGTCCTCTTCCGAAAAGGGGTCGTAACAATGTATAGACGATTTTTGATGTGGCATTCTCCGGCTCAATCTCCGCCTCATACCCTACAACCGGTACTGCACCTGCTTCTTGCCGAGCATGAACATGCCCCTTGCCAGAATATATATCCATCTTCCAGAGGTAGCCTGTGCGCGATTCGCACAATTCGTAACTTTTTATACCTTCCCGAGCCCGTTTTGTGGCAATTTTTTGCGAAAACGAGAGTCGCCCCTTCCATAGAAGGAGCGACTCGTCGATTGCCACTTTTTGCTCGTGAAGGTACAGTGCGGAAAATTTTTCATTTAAATGTTTAATAATGGGCATTATCTTCTGGAGTTTAGAGGGGTATTCTGGCAAGGAGGAATTGTTGTTAAAATGGAGGCGGAGGCACCTTTTTATTAGAAGGAATCGGTTGTAGGGCTTGATTTTCCTACAATCTCCAATCTGTAGGAAGGCGGACCTGGGATACCAATACTCGCGCTCCACATTGTTGACTATAACAGATTGTAACATCAAGTTGGACAGGAAGCGCCAAAATTCGTCGCTGGTCACATCTTTCCATCTTGATAAACGAGTCCAATTGCATTTTTGTTTTAAAAATAACTGTCGTGCGTATCTATTCGTTTCGTTAACAATGTGGTCTATAATATTGGTATCCCAGATTTGTTGGAATACCTGGAGAGGAGACATACCCGAGTGGTCAAAAGTTGGTCCTGATGGCCCAGAAAACTCTTCTTGGACGCCCTCAAAGTTGTTGTAATCGGCACACCAGTTAAAACTAAGGACGTCCATGTCACCCGCAGCCATATTACGAATGGCTTGGTCCTCCGTGCTGTCCAACTGCAAAAGCTCATTGAGCTCCGTGGGGCACGACTCCTGAGCATCCTCGCCGGTGGTGCAACCAATCAGGCGATCCACAACGTTCTGGAATAGTATATATTTGCTTGATAATAATAATAATAATAATATATTTATTTGCTTCAAACACGTTTAGTTTACAGGAAATGAATCCTAAACAGTTCAATTGGTTAGTTTGTGTGTATCAACATGTTTTGCCATGGACGGCGTACAAATATAAATTGATTGAGATAGTAATTACATTAGTTTCATAAAATATAACACAATAATCATCAATACAATAATATAATTATATGGGCTAGGAATGTCAAAAATGTCAAAAATAAAATAGTGTCAGAATTAAATGTCAAAATGAAAAAATAATAATAAAAAAACTATAATATGTATGTCAAGATAAATAGTTACAGCTAAAGAGAAAACCTTGTAAAAATAATAATATAATTAATTAAGAGTTATCGTTTAAGTAGTCGTGAATATTATAATAGCATTTCTTAACCAACATTTTCTTAACTCTGCTTCTAAACAAATTATGATTCAATGACTTAAAGTCTTTTGGTAATTTATTAAATATTTTGGGTGCCATACAGATTACACTACTAGCCAAATGAGCAGTTTTGGCAGTGTGCATACGTAGTCGTTGATTGTCTCGTCTGTTGCGCTGAACTGTATCAGATAATCTTGGGAAAGATGTAGGATTATTTTTCACAAAGAGACACATTTCTAAAATATATAATGATGGAAGGGTTAAAATGCCATGATTACGGAAGTATGGTTGACAACTATCTGTAATTTTTAGTCCAAACATAGAGCGGATACATCGTTTTTGAAGCTTAAATATTGAAGATTTATTGGTTGAATTGCCCCAAAAAATTATTCCATATCTTAATACCGAGGCCACTAATCCGTGATATGCAGTAAGCAAGGTATCAACATTTACCGTGGGCGCAAGTTTATACAGAGCATAAGAAGATCTGCTTAATCTATCACTGACAGTTTTTATATGTTCCTTCCAATTTATTTTTTTATCTATGATCAAACCAAGAAACCTCGTGTTAAATACTTCTCTTATTGCAACATTATCATAGTTTATATTCATTTCTGACGGGGTATCTATGCGCTTGCTAAAATACATTATATTCGTTTTATTTAAATTAATTTTTAAGTTATTGTTATTTAACCATGTAATCATTGATGTCAAGGTATTATTGATGTCATTTTCATATAAATTAGGATTTTTGCATGTCACTGTTGGATAAAATCACTGTACTATCATCAGCAAATAGAGTCATTGGATGCTCAGTAGAACAAGGTAAATCATTTATGTAAATAATGAATAAGAGAGGTCCGATTACACTTCCTTGGGGTATTCCAAATTTTATTTTACGTTCACAGGATGTATGTAACGCCTCTGTTTTAGTCCTATTGTAAAATCTAGAGATCACAGTTACTTGTCTCCTGTCTGATAAGAAAGAATTCAAAAGATTTAATATGTTTCCCCTTACACCGTAGCACTCTAGTTTATTTTTTAATATTTTATAGTCTACATAATCGAACGCCTGCGTCATGTCGCAGTATACTCGTATAGCACATACAGGTGTCCGTTTGTCCATATTAGTCATTATGTTTAATAAAAAATCATAAATAGCCTTATTAATGCTCATGTTTTTTCTGAAGCCTTTTTGCTGATGGCAGAATAAAGATTTTGTTTCAAAATATTTGTATATTTGATTATAAATATATTTTTCGAAGATTTTAGATATAATTGATATTAACGCAATAGGCCTGTAGTTATTAATTTGGTCCTCACTACCTTTTTTGTGCAGTGGTTTAATAATAGTTATTTTTAGACGTTCAGGGAAAACACCATCATCAATACACAAATTTAAAATGTAACTAAGATGATGACATATCAAAAAACCCACGGATTTAATAATAACTGTCGCTATCTCGTCATGACCTACACTTTTCGTGTTTTTAAGTGATTATTGATATGATTTTTTTAAGTGTACAAAAACATAGTCTTTTCTATTTTCTATGAGAGATGCGACTTTTTTCCGTAATTTTGTACAGGTACAACTTTATCTATAAAGTAATTATTTAAAGTGTTTGCTAACATTAAAGGATCTGTAATAGGATTATTGTCTAGTTTTATCTTCTTTATGTCACATCGAGGTACATTGTATTTATTATTATTAATTATTTGCCATGTAGCTTTGGTTTTGTTGTCGGAAGTTTTTATTTTATAACAGTTTTGAGCTTTTTTTGTTAACGCTATAATTTTTTTAAACAATTTATTATATTTCTGATAATTCACGTAATTATTTGGTGTACGTTTGTATCGGTATGTCCATAAAATATTCCGTTTCTTTTTACTGCATATTTTAATACCATGTGATATCCATTTTGGTGTCTTGTTAACCTTTATGGTAATCAAACGAACGGGAAAGCACAAATCATAAAATAATTTGAATTGATCTATAAATAAATCGTAGGCTTTGTTCGCGTCATCTACCTTATAAATATCCTGAAAAGATAAACTTTGTAAACATTCTATAAATTTTAAAACATTCTCTTTTGAAAAGTCGCGTTGTCTCCTACGCCAATATTTAAGTATACATTGACTTTTGACAGGACATTTTAATAACTGGGCTGTGTGATCAGACAATGCGAACTCTATGATTTCAGCCTTGCATGGCCTTTGAAAATTATGTGCAAGATTGTCAATGCAAGTTTGGCTTGTTATCCGTGTCGGTTGATCTAATGCTAATTTTAGATTAAAGTGTGTCAGGAGGCATTTGAATTCCACTGTCATGTTATTGTTTTTCAAAATATCAATATTAAAATCTCCGGCTATTACAATATTCGCAAGTAAAAAGTAAAAAGAACTATCTTTTTACTTATTACAAACAATAATTGCTCTAATTTTTGAAAAAATACATTGATGTTTCCTGTTTTAGGTGTTCTATAGATACATATAATGGCTATTTTATGTTCCAATAGTTCTACGGCACAGCATTCAAAAGTACCCATCTGTGAATGTTTGGCAACCTCTGTTAGCATTTTACAGGAAAGCCCTGTTTTTAATAGATTACACGCGCCGCCTCTTTTACTATTTGGCCTACTGTAACATGCAGCTAGGTAATAATTTGGTATATCAAGGTGGCCTTCATAGCCCGACATCATGAAATGTTCAGTAATGCATATCACGTCAACAGATTTGTTCGTTTCCAAAAGTTCATTAAGACAAACAGAGAGGGAGTCAGCTTTCGAGAGTAGACCGGCTATATTCTAATGTAATACACACAAATATTTATTAACGAAAAAAGTTATCAGTATATATTGTTTGCTCATTATATTTTTTATTAACATTCTCGCAATCGTTGAATGATTTATCTACACCACAGTCCCTGACATAATATTTTAAATTCGTTAAAATATTTTTCATTCCATTGTTATTGATGTGACCATTAAATATTGAGAACATAGTGAAATCGCAAGACAGGTCTAAGTTTGAATCAAGTAAGGTAGCATATGGATGAGTAAGTATGTCGAGATAAAGAAGATTGTTAAAGGTTTCCACTCTCCAATTATACATTGTATTGTAGTCATTAAGTTTATATGTAGGCAAACACAATATTATATTAGTATGCTGGATGCTCAATAACGTTTCTCGTATTTTTATTATGATATCAAAGTATTTTTTAGTTTTTGGAAAATCTTCGTGACCAATCAAAATAACACAATAATCGTCCATGGTGTAGTTAATAAGTTTAGTATTTAGGTTTTGGATAAGATTTAAGATACTACAATTGGGTGTAAGATAATGGCATAGTTCCATGTTAGGATATATATCTTGGGCAATAGACAGTACCTTATTTCTCTTATTACTACTTAAAATACACATTTTACGCTTATGCTTTGCAGCAGGCTGTTTATTGTCCTTTTCTGTACACTTGACTTTTTTTCTTTGTGAGGTCAGCGCCTGATTTGTGTCTTCTATGCACGACGCCTGACAATTATGTTGTAACATATGTGGTGTTTCGTCTACTTTTTTTTTATTATTTTCGTTTATCTCGTATGTTCCGTCCTGATTTTGTGGTGTGTTTGTTGTATTTTGAATAGCACATTCATATGTTTCTGTGATTTGTTGCTCTTTACTTCTTGAAGGCGTATGATTTATATTTAAAAGTTTTGTTTTCCGTTTCCGTCCGGTAAGCGGAGTCATATTTATAATATCTGTAGAATTTATTTTTTTGTACGCCTCTATTTGAATTCTGCATTGTTGTAGATCCGCTTTCAATTTTAAATTTTCTGTATGTAAGTTTTCTATTTCAGCATTTCTTTCCAGGTTATTCGACATTTCTTCCAATTTTACTTGCAAGTCCAGAACCGATTGGCTAGTGTTAACACTAGCCAATCTAGCCAAGTCACTTAAGTGACGAATCTCGAAGACTTAACATTGTACGAGGGGTGATCAATAAGTAATGATAATCAATATGAAACAGAACTATTAGATTAAAAAAAGTATTTTATTTTTCAACATAGTCTCCTTGCAAGTTAATACATTTAGTGTATCTTTTTTCTAAGCCCATGATTCCCTTAGAAAAAAATTCTTTGTCTTGACCCTCCCAAAATGCCTCTACTGCGGCCATCACTTCACTATTGTCCTCAAATTTGTTGCCCCGGAGGTGTTCTTTGAGCCGAGGAAAGAGGTAGAAGTCACTGGGAGCTAGATCTGGCAAATAGGGAGGGTGTTCGAGCAGTTCGAACCCCGTTTCTTCAATGGCAGCCATCGCAACTGCGGCTTTGTGAGCCGGGGCGTTGTCTTGGTGAAACAGCACTCCAGCGCGCAGTTTACCGCGTCTTTTTGACTTAATAGCTTCTCGCAATCTTCTTATTTGGCCTGCGTAGTAAGAGCCTGTTATAGTGGCCCCCTTTTCCAAATATTCCACCATAATAATTCCTTCTGCATCCCAGAAAACAGACGCCATAACCTTTCCCGCTGAACTTGACACTTTGAATTTCTTCGGCGTTGGTGAGGAAGCTCGTTTCCAAGTCATTGATTGTTGTTTGGTTTCGGGATCAAAGTGGTGGATCCAGGTCTCGTCCATGGTCACAAAACGCGACAAAAAAAATTCTTTATCGGCCTGGAACTTTTGAAGATTCACCCTCGAAATGTCGACTCGTTTCTTTTTTTGCTCGTCGGTTAACATTCTCGGTATCCAACGCGCAGAGACCTTTTTCATATGCATTTTGTTGACAATGATTTTTTGAACGCTGCCATAGGAGATCCCTGTGACCTCAGCTACATGCCTTACGGTCACCCTTCGATCGGCCAACACGATATCTTCCACTTTTTTGACGTTTTCTCCAGTAAGGGACGTGGAAGGGCGTCCCTCGCGATGTTCATCTTCAGTGGAGGTTCTGCCCAGCTTAAATTCCTTTGCCCAGCGTGCGACTGTGGAATATGGAGGAGCAGACTCCCCCAATGTTTCCTCTAAGTCGCTGTGTATGTCTTTGGTAGACATTTTTTTCAGGCAGAGGTACTTGATGACAGCTCTTATTTCATTTTTCTCCATTTTGATGTTTTCTCTTCGACAGTTCGTATTCAAATGAATGTATCTCCCGGTAATGGTGTCCTATTTATACTTTTTTTTGAAGCTGAAGTAGTGGATATATAAGCAAGCAGAAAAAAAAAAATTGGGTTTTTGTGCGTTCTAGAAATACTCGATTATCATTACTTATTGATCACCCCTCGTAGTATCAAAAAGCGATGTATTTTCCGAGGATATGTCGTTTAGTGAACACGTTTTACGTTGTTTACGTATTGTAATATTGTCATCCATTTCAAAGCACCACCTTTGTCATACAATGTTCTTTCTCTGAGTAGTGGGTTCACAAATTGCGTTTGATGTTTTCAACGTTATCTTATTTTTGTTTGTGAATTCCTAGCGCCCTCTATTATTAATTTATGAACGCCAGTTTCTTATGAATTATAGTTGCATAGGTTTTAAGATTAAATAGACAAAAAGACATCGATGAGTGAGGTTTGAACCGTCAGTATTTTCGTCCCAATGATCCGACTCGCGTTCACGTTACACCAAGAGAAACTTACTGACTTTAGTCAAATTAAGTATTGCTTTATAGGGCCTGTGACTTTCAAAAATAATTTATCGGTTATTATGACTCATAACTTAAGAATTTTGTTCACATTCTTGACACTTTGTAGCAGTAAATGAGTTATCCTTTTATACTTAATTTTAAATTTTTACGGCACTTATTACACTTGGAATGTTATTATATTCATTTCCAAAGATATTTAACACTGCTTACGTTTGTTTTTACACTGTATTTTGTACATATTTAGTTTTGTAATGTTCACTTTTTATTTTAAATACTACTGATTGTACAAGTTTGCTCACATTCACACACTTTTAATTAACTATTTAACGACATATTTAGGTACAAGTAACAGCGATAGTTATTTAATTCTATTATTTTTTGAAAATATTACATAGAGCTTTCTTAGTGACGTCTTTACCAGATAGCGCCATCTAGCGGAGCCACTTGAGAAACGGTACAATGATGGTCTTACAGATAAACTAATACATGTATATTATTACCTCCTCCTCATCGATTTCGCTGCCACTGTTGACCTCCAGGTCGCGCTCTATTTGTACGTCTGCAATATTTTTTGTTGTTGATAAAATTTGTATACAAACAGTATGTACCGTAAGTCGGGTCGGGGGCAATTTTAAAGTGTGTAACTCACCAATCTCGATGGACAAATTAGATCTGGCGCTCCTGCCCGAATCGAATGCTTCCGTTCGAGTGCTGGTTGCTAAAACATTTACCCAAAATTTTAGTGATGTCTTGAATTATTTACAAAAATAACAGAAAAACAGTGGACACAACAGGACTATATTCGTGAAAAGAAATATTCATTAAAAATATTGAAGGAAATATTTTCTATTAAAATACTTACTAGGCGTGCAATTGATTAGTTCAATGTCGGCAACGAGGGGTGGGAAAGACACCTCCATGACCTGAACGATCCCCGTGGATGGGCTGAAGCGAATGCATGATCTCCTGACGATAAAAAATTGTGATGCCAATTCATTTTGTAAATTTTAGACATTCATTTTCAGGCTTTTACACACATAGCACACCTAGGCATTATACACCTAGACTTATTTCGCTTGAGGAGTAGTTAAATTGATGTCCTCTTTCACCCTCTTCAAACACCTTTGTGTCAATTCTGATAAAAGTAAGTATTGCATGAGCAAATGTAAAAAACAGTAGCTTTTGTCTTACCGAGGAAAGAATCTTCCTGGTGACATTTTGGAGGCGTCCCTTCTATGATATCATCGTCGCTTTCTTCCGCTGCTGCTGTTGTTAATGGAATAAAAAAGTGCAATGTATAGTATTGCATGAGCAAATGTTAAAAAGTGATTTTAGTTATAGTCTTACCGAGACAAGGTCCTTGCAGGGAAAGTGGAGAAGGCGTGCCCTGGATGACGTCATCGTTGGTCGTCTCCTTCGCTGTAGTTTCATTTTAGGAATAAAAAAGTACAATGATGAGCAATACATGAGCAAATATAATGAACCAATTTTAGCTATGGGAGCCATTCAAATCGACGACAGTTGCCTCGTCAACCATTTCTGAATTTAGAACGGAATTTAAAAAAAAAAATATGTATTAATAGGGATAAGTAGAAATAACAGTTACGTATATGATAAAACAATGCACATACCATGCACAGACTGAACCTTTTCCCATGGCTGAAGGACCCTTGCTGGAGGGATGGAGGGCACACCGGGCAACAGTGGGCAAGTGATCTACTGTCGTTCGTCGGGTACCGTCCTCTTACCCTTCCCCTTTCCTTTCCTGTATTCAAAAATAAATATTAGATTAAATGCAGGTTATGGCTGATTACCATAAACAAGTTTGTCGATTTTGAAAGAAAACATGAGAAAACGCGGCAAGTCGTAGAGAGTAGGTTCGAAGACGTGTCAAGTGCAGGATTGGGGCGCACGTAGTAGTATTTATTTTATTTATTTATTTATTAAACAATCTAATTACAATGTTGGTTAGTAATGCCTTAAAACCTATGTTAGGTTAGTAGTATTGAAATGGTAACCTTATAACCCATGTATTATGCGGTAACTAGATACAGACTAAAAATAATAGATACCTACCTACATATTAAAATGAATTATTGCTTATTTTAGCTCAACTATATGGTGGTAATATTTTCACATGAAGGAGAAGAATATGTGTCAGCTGCGCTTAAAGAGTGACTTCATATTGAGAGAAAAGCTATAAAGTTAAATATGAAACCTGAAGATGATTGGATTACTTATGACAATGTCCGAATAGTAGGTTATTATGGTAAGTTCTTTATTATTTTTCTTCTAAATTATTTTTCCCACAATTTTTTTTTGATACATATTTTTAACCTATTCACGCCACCAGCTCACTTGAAAGCAAGTGAAGTTGTGGCCATTAGCTTGTCTAAAAAGACCCTATTCACTCATAAAGCTGTGAGGCCAGTTTTAATTTTTTTATTAACCGTTGGAACCCCTCATCTCCCCCATCAAAGATAATTTTACCATTATTGTGTAAAATATTTTCAATGTTTTAGCATCACTGAATGAAGCTCTTGTTATTGAAAAAAAATAAACAAAATAGTAGCAGCAGTGAATCTGAAACGGTATTACGAGATAAAGGTAAAAGAAAAATAATTCCAAAGAAGAAATATCGCGATGACTCCATTTCTCCGCCACCTCTGTTAGAAATTAATGGTAGGTGTATGATTTTTAGCGTTTTAAAATTAGATACATTTTAAATCATACTTTTATAAAAGATTTAAATACATAACTCTTATTCTCTGTTTTAGAAAATGTTGTATCTTCGGAAAGTGATACATTCCCCACTGCAAGTGACATACATAATACAAGTTTAACTATCCTCGAAGAAGACGTTAAACAGTCGTCACAAGAACCTGTGATGCCGATCCAGTCCTGTTCGAGTGATGTATCTATTGGAGCTGGGTCAGGCAGTGCTTTCAGCATGGGTAACATAGGTAAGTGTTTAATATGTACTAGCTTCGCATAGATGCGCATATTCGGCTTATTCGAAAACCGACAAGTTGACGGATACGCGTATTCGCTATTCGTGCTTGTGTTATGCGTACGAATAAAGCGAATATACTCTCCACACTTATGCGCGTGAATAACCCGTATAACGAATAGCACATAACGCAGCGGGGTTCAAGCATAACATCCCACTTACTACATACTTGGAGCTACGTACCTAAGTTCAGGTGTATCTACCCAAGATAATTTTATGGAGAACAATTTCAGTATAAGAAAACATTTTGTAACCGCTTTACGTGTCAGGCGGACTACTCACCGGCTTACCCAGCGGAGAAATACACGAGATTACCTCAGGGCGCCTTGTCGAAAACAGAAGGGTGTGCGTGTGGGCAACCTAAGGGACTCCTCAGAGAAAGATAACTTACACCTCAGTCATACATACATGTATATTTCAACTAAATACAGAGTTACAATTAAAAAAAAACATAAAATAGTGGGTATATAAAAAAAAACCCGCAGCGGCGCGCGTCAAGGCCGAGCTGATGCTGCTCGGAGCCTCCTCGTCATCAATCCAGCAGGCCACTTCCACACCAGCCCGAGTCGGCTATTTATATTAGGTATAATTTAATAATATAATTTAATTTAAGGTTCAATATTTATATTAATTACATTAACAAGAATTACGTAACCCTTGAATGAGGCTAACCGCTTGCTTGGTGAGCCGCGTGACTGCTAGTTTACCAGAGGGTACTGAGTAGCTCGATTACGCACAAGAAGGACACGAACAACAGAGCACGCCTTCTGAGAGGTTTATCTTGACCCGAAATCTGGAGCCCTACGAATGGATTAGCACTCATATAATCGTTCAGGTTCCAGAAACAAATGACTACAAGGAAATTAAGATTAACTTACCACTGACGTGGGTACTTAGGACAAAGAATTTACTAAAAATTAATTAACAGACGAATAAAATACTACTTAATATCGGAAGACTTGAATCACCAGAGTGTCCCCTGCGGCTGAAAGCCGGACTTATATATGCTCGGTTTGTGAAATTTCTAGAAAGAATCCCTTCTTTATCATTTTAATTGTCATTCAAATTATCATCGAGGTTAACACGACTCAATTCAACAGTAACCCGCTTCCTACCATAACAGGACACTTTTAACACCAATACAATTTGTCAGGATAGATTATTACTATGACTTACCAAAAAAAAACCACGCCATCTAGTGGTCCGATGGCGGACGAAAAGACATCAATACTATAGTTACAATTTACTTCGGATAAATCAATAAATGCGACGCGGGGCAACAGGTGTCACTGTTTACAACTCCGTACGCAATACAAATACACGGTGATTTTGAAAGCGTTTTGGAAAATAAAATTTTGAATTATTTATCAGTAACAGAAGCTATATACAACGTTAATTTAATAAAATATATATTTTTTTATCATCAAAGTCGATATTCATATCGTTTACAGAGAAAAAGTGAGAACCAGTAGTAGTAGGCTATTCAATCACACGTAGGTAAATACTACGAATAGAAATACTATGCGTTTTAATATCGAGTCACATAAACGTCGCGCGCTCACGCGCAAGGTCAAGGACGTTTAAATTATTATTCGCCGGAGTGTAGTGCGTGCATACCTGGACAATGAGTTTAGTGATCGGTGGATAGGTCGAGGAGGGCCAGTGCCTTGGCCACCTAGAAGCCCGGACTTAACGCCCCTGGATTTTTTCTTATGGTTGGAAATAAAAAGACTTGTTTATACACGGGAATATGAAAGCCGTGAAAATTTACGCATTGCGATAGTGGACGCTTTTGATAAAGTGAAAAGTGATAGAGACACATTAAGAAAATTAAAAAACAATTGCATTAAACGTGGACGTTTGTGTATTGAATGCAGCGGACTCCATTTTGAGCAGTTCCTTCGATACAGAGAAGTGTAAATAGGTATGAAAGTTAATTATTCTGTAGATAGCTCCGATTTTTTAAATACGCCTGAAATATTTATACCTGCAGTCCGTTGATAAATTGATTTGTTGTGAAAAGAACAATCGTGGTTAATAATCGAAAAGAAGTTTAAATAAAATAGGTATTTCCGACGGTCCTAAGCCCGTGTAAAGTATGAAGGGCAAATTGGAGTCTATCTACGTAAGTACTCGCTAGCTCGCGCCTATAGGTATACTTTTATCAGCTGCTGTTAGCGTCGGCGGTGCGCAGCGGCCACCGAAACGCCCACGGACGTGTTTCATTCATATAAGATAATGAATGAATGATCAGTCCATTACTACTTTCCAAGTCGATCGAGTAAAAATGAATATTAAAACAGAAACTTTTTTTTAGACAACATTACAATTGATTTAATCATTTTTATTGGTACTATAGAGGATTCCAAATTAAAATATTTCGTTTCCAAAACGCCTATAAAATCACCGTGTATAATGAAAAAATAACTGTTACACCACCCCCTCCCTCAAAGTATTCCCTGCGTAGTGTGCGCAGGGAATATCATCAACAGAGCCAAAATCCATATAAATGGTTTTACAAACCCCGTGGATTAGGAAAACATTATTTTCTATGACTCGCGACAACAAAGCCTGTAGCTATCGATTTGGTTTCCCCTCGTATCTGTTTTGTAAGACCAGTTTGAATGGTGTCCATTAAAATCGCCTAATATAAGCGACTTTCTGTTTGCCATAGAAAACAAATAGTCCCATGTCTGAGAATTTGTCGACGATTCCGGAGCACAGTAAATGGCAATTAAATGTTCTAATTGATTGCAATTAAATAATTTTATATGAATTAATTCTAAAGCAGAATTAGTTCTATGTATTTCAACCCGTTGTGTTTGAACTGATTTATGCACTATAATTGCCACACCACCATATCCATCCCTATCGAGACGAAAAATATAGTAATTATTGATATTTACATGAGTATCTGGTGTAATCCATGTTTCACTTACCACCGCAATATGGATGTGTTCTTGGATTAATAACTGTTCGAATGTACCATGACCCGTAAGAAATTGAGCGACACAGTGATCCACCTCAAGCCATATCTTCGACAACCGTTCGCGAACAGCTGGAAAGAATTGGTAAAGATGGCGCCCCTTGGATGATTCATCCCAGCGTTGTTGCCATTCGTCTATGAGGTCATTATAGACATCGGGCTGCTGTTGAAGCAATCTTGTAATTTTACCGCGATCCCGCGCGCCCAAAAAATCGCATTCCATGTTTTGTTGTCTTGAATAGTACATGGCTGCACGTCTCTGCACCTCGAGATCGACCGGAAGCACACCCGCCAACACCGGCAAAGCCTCAGTGCTAACCGTCCTATATGCCTTACACAAGAATATCAGTGCAAGTCGTTGGCCTTGTAACAGTTTTGCGACGGACAGCGCCTACGGTCGCCCTATCGGCCCATACAGGTGCACCATAGCACATAGAACCTAAATAAGTAGCTCCGTATATGATCTTTAATGTATTAAATAATAGACCCCATGTCGCAGTTGATATCCTTGTCAATGCACAGAAACTCTTTTTAGACTTTTCATTAACTATTTTAATATGTTCGATAAATGAAAAGTTTCTTTCTAAAACTAATCCTAGATAACACACTGTAGTTTTATTTTTTACAGTAACATTGTCAAATCTAATGCTCGGCCGTGATTTGAGGTTACCTTTTAAAAGTAGCTGGAAGGTTTTGTTGGGTGCAAAAGTTAAGCGATTACGTTCACCCCATTGAGATATCAAGTTCAAACATCTATTGGCTAATCTCTCAAGCCCCGCCCTAGTATCAGATTCCACCAGTAATAAGCCGTCATCAGCATACGCGTTCAGAGTAGATCCGGATGATATTGGTATCGCAAGAAAATCGTCGAAGCCGATATTCCACAAGTATGGACCTAGCACCGATCCCTGAGGACATCCCATTGTAAGCGCCTTCGACACAGAATGATGACCAAGTCTTAGTTTAGTTGTACCTTGTGAAAAGTACGAAGAGATAAGGGAATAAATATTTTTAAAGCACCCCCGTGATTTTAATTTCAGCAACAGCATGGGCCACCATGCGTTGTCGAAGGCACCAGATATATCTAAGAAAATAGCCAGCACGTATTGAAATTTTGACTCTGTGACAAACTTTCTAACCGATATAACAGCGTCAGTTGTCGATTTACCCAACGTAAATCCAAATTGTCTATCATGAAATTTGACTCCACCTGGCAGAAGCCGGGGCACTACAAGACGTTCTAAAAGCTTTCCTAACGATGGTAACAATGTGATTGGTCGGTAGGATTTAGGATCATCCGGTGGCTTGTCGCCACTTTTTGGTATTATACGAATATTACCGCACCGCCATATACGAGGAAATATTCCTTCAGCAATGCAACGTTTAAAGACAGTGCAAATCGTGTCACCCGAAAGTTTACAAGCTTCTTTTATCATTTTGTTAGATATTTTATCATCGTACGAAGCCTTGTTTAGCGGCAAGGATCTAATGATACCGAGAAATTCGTCTGAAGATGGTAAATCAGACATTGGAGATAGTGGTGGTTCGATGGCCCACTGCCTGATCTGTCGGTGATGATCAGCGTCGTTTTCCGGCCGATCGTCAGGTACGAGTGAGTCTAAAAGATATTCTGCTGTTTTTTCTACTCCTGTGGTATATCTGTTATTAATTTTGATGTTCTGTATGTATGCAAGGTCGATTGATCTATTTGCCTTAAATTCGTGATACAAAGGTGACCACGGGCCCTGTCTATCGAGTTTATCAACAAGTTTCTGAATTAAGTTTCCCTTGGATTTTTCCACAGCAGCTCTGTAGTGGGACCTGGCAACTCTAAGAGCAATGAGAGCATTGTTGTACAAATCTCCTGTTACGTAATGTTTTTTAATAGTGTTTAATTTTCTACGAGCTTTCCGGTAGCTTCTACGTAGTTCGGCTAATCTATCATTCCACCAATCACATCTACGAGTGTTAGTGATAGATCCGCGACCAATAGTTACATCAGCGCAG